GAATGGGATGTGCTCGGTGCCTTAATTCTTCCTCCATACCCCTTTCATCTCTGTCTTGGTGAGTAGGGAGCCACTCTTTCCAGAAAGTTGGGTTTGATCCTAGGAACCTCCAGTTCAGTGAGCCACTCTTGGGGACAATCTGTAGTCCATGTCACTTCCACATATATAAGCCCCTAAGGCATTCCCATTTCTGCATTAACCTGCCACTGGTCTTTTAAGAAGTCTGCATGAGTGCTCACACACTCACATATAAATCCATGCCCCCTTTTTCAACAAAATAAAAAAAAAATCCTTCCAGTAGCACCTTAGGTAAAGGTAAAGGGACCGGAGCTCACCCCATTGTGGGGATTTGAACCATGCAGCACAGTGACTTTAGGTGACCTGGTGGTCAAAGGCACAGTGCTTTTCAAGCCCCTATGACCAGCTGATCATTGGTGCTTGCAAAGCACAGGACTCAGACACCAGCTGACCATTGCAAAGCCCTGTGTACAATATTCAGCAAGCAAGTCCCAATGTTCAGCTGATCACCACTACCTACATCCCTTCTTTCAGCACAGCCACGTGCCTCACACGTGACATCAGCTGTAGGGCATGAGTCGTGGTTTGGCTGAAATGGTCACACAGGCCAAATCAGGAGGCCTGGTGACCCTAATAAGGCTCATGAGCCAGATGTTCCTCAGCACTGTTCCAGCAGATTTCAAACTTCCTACGCAACGTGAACATTTTCCACATTTATAGGACCGCTAGGCCACTGATTCTGTGACATGTTTCCAGGATGCACTTGCCCTCAACTGCAATTTCCTGCTCCTCTGAGTAGGTTTCACTGTAATCCATATGATTGGTTGACAATGACGATGCCATCCAAACACCCAAGTCTACACGGAAACTGGCATGCCTTGGAATGGATGAACATGTCTTCTTCTTTTAATTGTCAGACTAGCCCAGTGTGTTTGATGAGAGCTGTCTGGCTTTCTTGGTTGAACTCCATATTAACGGTCCTACTATATGGCTTGCTAGTGGGTGTTTCATGCCGCTAGTTTCCTTTGGTTGAGCAGCAACATATCCAAAGCTTGTAAATACTCAGCACCTTTGCCGAGCGAGGGTTACTTCCAGACATGCAGCCTTGACGGAAATTGCTTCTGCTCCTCATCCTTAATTGCACTGGTTCAAATATTATTTCATTGAAAATGCCACCAGAAAACAGCAGTTGTCAAGCAAAACCCCATCTGCAGAGCTTCCGAACGGCAAGGCTAAGATGCAAAAATTGCTGTGGCCTACAGTGGAAGTTCCCAGCAATCTTCCTTTCACTTCTGTCAGTCCAGTGCTTTAATCTGCAGTTTGCTGGGCTGAAGCTGTCCATCTGCAGCGTTAGAGTGCACCAAGGAAGATTCACAGCCTTTGTTCAGAATGAGAAGGAAGCATGAGCGATGAGGATGTCAGATAATTCCAGTGGAAGTGGGAGCAACAAGTGTTTGTCTCGTGCGTAGAACAGAAATTCGCTATCCCTGTGGTTTTTAGTCTGCAAGCGATACGTAATTGATTAGCCGCCACCCCTCCCGCCTCAGTATGCCTGTGGTGATCATGTAACATTTTTCCACAATGAATGGTGAGATTTTTGTTGGTAGCCGCACTGCAGTGGAATGGAAACAGCACAGCATGTGATGAAGATGGAGCAGAATGGAAATCAATTCCTTTTTGCAGCCCTAATGAGTGATGTGCACTATTCTTGTTTCCAACATAATATATAAAGTGGGAATTTTGTGCATTTTCTCCACCTTTAGAGTAGGGATAGGTGTCAATTGATTTCTAGGGTGTGCCAATTTCAGATGTGTTTATATTCATCATACCATATCATTTCTAGATTAATTGTGAGGGTTTGTTAAAATAATAACTTTATTGCATTTAATTATTATTGTATTGCGTACCATTTTTCAGGCTTCAGAAAAGTGGCTTACAGCTTGGTCTAATGAAATAACCAAAACCAACCAATTCCTCCCAGTTGCCCAGCCCAAAAATGCTGGACAAATGTAAGGAGCAGCTTGTAGTGGAGACAACGGATGAGTTTTGTGGCTTCAGGAGGGTAGCAGTGATGAATATAAATTTAGATTCCCATAACCTTATTTTAGTAGTTGAGGAAATAATGCAGTATTCTTTTTTTAAAAAAACAAAAACCCCACATAGCCTATTGATTATTGGGGGGGGGGGCACACCCCACTGAGCAAAACATAGGCTATTATTATTTTTTAGTTCCAGCAGTCATTTCTGTGAAAAGATTACAGCTGTAATCATAACCGAATACTGATGTGAGTACACAAAGAGCAACTTTTTGTGTGATTCTGAGATCAGGAACAAAAGGTTGGTGATGAAAAGAAAGTTGGCTCCATAATGGATAATGGGAGTTCACATTTAATGCTTGGCTACCATGTCTCCTCCAATCATAAAGCAATTTGCTGCAAAATGTATAGCTTTGCTTTTCACTTCTTCTTCTTTTTAAATAAACACATTCCTGAAAGCAATCTGTCATTAAGGCCCTTTTAGCTCACGTAAATAAAAGTGGCAGTAGTAAGCTATATGCAAAAAAAATTATTATTTTTTTAAAATAAATGCATATAGAAATAGATTGATGTTGCTTTTTATGCGAACAGAGACATCAGAGAATGAATATGCAGGTGATTCCTCCCTTCTCCCCAGCTGTAATTAAAGCCATGGGAGAGTTTCTAAGCATGCAGTCAGACAGATTTGATATGTTTCTGTGTTTTCCCGCAGCAAATGACATTTAAACATACTGTGGGTAGTTTATTTTTAAAAGATGTGTTTTTTGGTTCAAACAGAACTTGTGCACAGTTTTATCTCCCAGCAAAGAATTTGAAAGAAGCCTGACATAAAAGAGGCACATTTAGATACAGAGAGAATAATATATAAATAGAATGATGGATATTAATGAGGGCTAAGAAGAAACCGAGAGCTACACACACACACACACACACACACACACACACACACACAAACAATTTTTCAGTGCTGCCACATGCTCGTTTCTTTACAAGATTTTCTGTTTGATAGATCTTTCAAACATTTCCGTCTCCGTTTGCCCCCAGCAGCCTCAGATTTATTCATTTTATTAAATTTGTATGCCGCCCTTCATCTAAAGAGCTCAGGGCGGTTCACAGCATAAATTAGCTTCTTCGATGTACAGCTGTGCTTTGAGGTAGTTTAAGCGTGGAAAAAGCTCCATGCATACTTCCCATTTCGTACAAGGTCACACTTCTCTCTCCAGCAGTTCTGGGAAAACATTGCTAGGCTGAGGGCCAATTATCCTTCTTCAAGACCTTCCAAGGGCCACATGCTGGGGTGGGCGAGGCTAGAAGCAAAACGACGAATGTGGCTTTTCCCTGTATGCACTCGGCCAGTTTCTATGCACAGTTAACTCCTCTCTGTCCTTTACAGTGGTACCTCGGGTTAAGAACTTAATTCGTTCTGGAGGTCTGTTCTTAACCTGAAACTGTTCTTAACCTGAAGCACCACTTTAGCTAATGGGGCCTGCTGCTGCTGCCGCGCCACTGCTGCACAATTTCTGTTCTCATCCTGAAGCAAAGTTCTTAACCTGAGGTAATATTTCTGGGTTAGCGGAGTCTGTAACCTGAAGCGTCTGTAACCTGAAGCGTATGTAACCCGGGGTACTGCTGTATTCAGAAAAGGAAGAGGCATTATCAGGATTCAAAGACATGTTTCAGGCACCCAAAAGCATTTGGGGTGTGAAGGAGATTCAGTGAGGGATGTGGCCTGGGGATAAGGGGAAGAGTACCGAAGATGCCATGGAAAGACTCAGAAGGCCACATTCTGCCCCCCATTCCCCACTCCTATTCAGGGCCGTCTTAAGCATATCTGGCACCGTGGCGCAAAGATCCCTCCAGCGCCCCCCCAACTCCAAAACAAGGGAAGGGATGGTAGAAAATGTCCTCTGCCTCCCCCACCGCCCCGATCCCCAGTTTGCTGACGGTGATCAAGCAGGAAAACGTGCTGGCGGACATGCTTTCTGGTGTAGGGGCGCCCAAGAAGGCAGCCTGGGAAGGCTGCATGCCACCTTTTGCCAGGAAGCAGAAGGAGGACAATGACCGGGAGCAGGGCCGTCTTTAGCAGGTACAGAGGCTTGGGAGGGAAGCTGCGCACAGCTTCCTTCCTAAGCCTCTGTGGGGATCGCTCTCCTCCTGTGGAGCCTTGGGAAGGGAGCTGCATGCCCACCAGCCATATAGTTGGTGGGGCGCAGCTGGTGGACGTGCAGGGGAAAGGGAGGCTGCTGGCAAAGCCGCGCAGCTCCCCCACTCGCTAGGGCACCCCTGAGAGGTTGGCGCCCTGGCGCAACAAACCACTAACACCAATGGGAAAGACGGCTCTGCTCCTGTTTTAAGTCCTGGGGATGAAGGAGGCTGGCTTGCTGGCAGAGAACTTTAAGATTCAGCACCATTCCCTTCCTGCCCGTTTCAGAGCCTTCTCGCTCCAGCAGTGACAGGATCGGGATCCATAGCGACTGCAGGTTCTCAAGTCCCCCCAAATTGTCTCAGGGAGTTTCAGGGGACATTGCAGCCTCAGTTTCCTCCTCATCTCTGTCAGGGCCTTTCCAGATCATGGGAAAGCAGCCGCCATGGCTGCAGCGCAATCAGATGTCTCTTGAGGGCCACATCTGTGACCAACAGCTTCTAGCCATGGTGGCTATGTTCTGTATCCACTGTTTGAAGCAGTAAGCCTCCAAGTACCAGCTGCTGGGGAACTGCAGGTGAACAGAGTACTGTTGCCCTCCTATCCAGCTTGCACACTTCTCAGTGTCTTCTGGTTGGCCACTGTGAGAATAGGATGCTGGATGATGATGCTGATGATTGATTGATTGATTTATATCCCGCCCATCTGCCTGGATTTCCCCAGCCACTCTGGGTAGCTCTCAACAGAAGATTAAAATCACGATAAAACATCAGACATTAAAAACTTCCCAAAAACAGGGTTACCTTCAGAAGTCTTCTCAAAGTCAGATAGTTGCTTATTTCCTTGACATCTGGTGGGAGGGTGTTCCACAGAGTGGGCGCCACTTCTGAGAAGGCCCTCTGCCTGGTTCCCTGTAATCTCACTTCTGGCAGTGAGGGTGCCACCAGAAGGCCCTCAGAGCTGGACCTCAGTTTCCGGGCTGAACAATGGGGGTGGAGACGCTCCTTCAGGAGGCTCCAGCAGGCTCATCCTATGTTCTTGCAGCTCAATGTGGCTTCAGTGCTCAGACCAGTAGAGTAGTTACGACTCAGCAACCTTAAACCACTACACCTTCCTTTCCTGTTGAACGTGACGGCCCTTGTGGGTTAGACAATTCAGCTGTGAAGGACCATAGCGCCACACTTGGAGGACATTCACCCTAGAAGATCCCGTGTATAATCACTGTATTTCTAGCTAAAATGAGAGATGGGAGAGATGGCCAGCCCTGTTAGGAAGTAGACTGAGATGAATACCTAACCTGAGGCAATATATTAATGGGGCTGTTAACCAGTGACAAAGCTGGACTTTGGTGGGAAAGTGAGCATTGTTCAGTGGTAGATAGCATGGGTTCTGTTCCCTGTGCTGTCACTCAAAGGGATCTCCGCTAGAAAATCTGGAAAGACACGGGTCTAAATCCCTCGGGGAACTGTAGCCAATTAGAGCAGCTAATACTAAATGAGATAGACCAACAATTTAACTTTGTAAAAGGCCAGTACCCTGAGTTCATCAGTTTATCACAGCCTTCACACCTGCGTTACATTTCCCAATCCAAGCTAACGTCCCTCTGTTTCCAATTTTTTTTTAAAAATGCAGTTTAACGTTTTGCCTCCAAGGTTTGTGCCAGAAGGATTAAAAAAGGATTAAGATGATATATAGCTCATTAAATAGCTAACAATGTCAGGTAATCGTGCCAAGCTATATTTTTTAAATATTAATAATCAATTAACAAGAAATATTTTGTGTCTCGACTGCTGTAATTAAATGCTTGGCCTAAATCTTCTGCAACTATGGCTTTCTGAGCTGATATGTGTAGTAAGTTATGTTATCCATAGATCTTTTTTTGGGTTTTGTTTAATCCAGTATCTAATAATGGATCAGTGAGATATCAAGTGTGTGTGTGTATATATGCGCTCTGTTACGCCTTCACTTAGGCATGAAATTTTGAAGTCCTATTAGTTAGGGCTGTGTGAGATGCTTCGTGTTCACCAGCTGGAAAGCACAATCTCTTAATGAAGCAGAAATAAAGAACAAAACCAAGTTAGAAAACCCGCCCTTCTCCTTTATTACTTAGCCGGGGAAGTCTTTTAACTTTTTGCTGCACTGGGTTTTGTCATTTTCTCCTCCCCACTTTTCTTTCTTTCTTTCTTTTACTCTGGGCGGGGGAATGAAAAGAGAGCTGTTGATTGGCAAACCTTTGTCTCGATTCCTTAATTCATCTTGATCAATGTCTATGGTGCTTTGGGTTTTATTCCAGTTTCTTTTTTTTAAAAAAAAAAGTGGGAGATGTGAATACTTTTTCTTCTTCACTTTGAGAGTTTTTAAGGAACTTTTAATTTGAAAAGTGTCTAAAGCCAATGGAAGCTTTGTAAATCCCTTCCACATTTCAAAAAGGAAGGTGTTTTATTAATGAGCGATTGGAGGCTGATATGCAGTCACATATTTTTTTTTAATGAGAGAGAGAAAGGGACGTGTTTATTTAATTATTTATCTCATATATATATGAGATAAATAATTATAATTTTATATATATAGAGAGAGGTAAAAGTAAAGGTACCCGTGCCAGTTAAGTCCAGTCGCGGATGACTCTGGGAATGTGTGCTCATCTCGCTCTATAGGCTGAGGGAGCCGGTGTTTGTCCACCGACAGTTCTTCCAGGTCATGTGGCCAGCATGACTAAGCCGCTTCTGGCGAACCAGAGCAGTGCACAGAAATGCCGTTTACCTTCTTGCCGGAGCGGTACCTATTATCTACTTGCACTTTGATGTGCTTTCGAACTGCTAGGTGGGCAGGAGCAGGGATCAAACAATGAGAGCTCACCCCATCACGGGGATTCGAACTGCCGACCTTCTGATCGGCAAGTCCTAGGCTCTGTGGCATGTATCCTGACTTTACATATTCAGTACCCAATAAGGCCAAGGATAATAATCACAACACTAAAAAGGCAATAAAATCAACACATCCCTCGTGTGTGTGTGTGTGTGTGTGTGTAGTACCCCACTGTAAAGATCTCAGAGCAGCTTATATAAAACCAATTTTTAAAAAGACTGTTCAGGACTGCAGACTTAGAATCTGAAAGACACAAAAAATTACATAGTACTGATTGTAATGACAGACTAGAAGGTAAATAGTTCAGGGAGAGTATAGGAGCCAAACAGAGCTGGTCTCTCAGCAGAACCAGCAGAGTGGACTTGCTTTGTATTTCTGCATGTTGCAAGATGACCACTGAGAGATGGATATGCCTGATGGAGCTGCTCTCTCAGAAAAGAAAACAGAGTGGCCCTGCTTCCCATCTCTGCCTCTGCCGCCGAAAGAGGAGCTAGAAACAGCAGACTGCCAAAACTCAGAACGAGAAAATAATGGGGGGGGAAATGCAGCCTGGCAGAGAACTAATCAGCCTGGCATGTCAAAAGCCTGCAGGAACAGGAAAGTCTTGATCATTCAGCAGAAGGCCAATAACAATTGCATTGACTCCAATTTAATGTGGGGGGGGGACCAGAAAAGAAATTGTGTTAAGGATAGGACTACCATTGTATAGTGGGTGGTGTCTGATGTCTTTAATTATGCTCAATTTATTTATTAAGTTTCTATATTGCCCTTCATCTGAGGACAACAGGGCAGTAGGCAATATAAAAACACCAAGATACATAACATAGAAACAAACAAAAATAATAAATCCTCCCTAGTCGAGTTTAAACGGCCATAGATTGTTTAATTAAAGAAAGGGCTGGGAGACGAGGAATGGTTTTGTCAGGAGGCTAGAGATACATAACATAGGTGCCAGGCGGGCTGGCCTGGGGAGAGCATTCCACAAATGGGGAGCCACTGCAGAAAAGGCCTGTTCTGGTGTTGCCACTTTTGGGGGCCTCTGGTGGAGGAGGAACACGAAGAAGGACCTCAGGTGATGGTCTCAGGGTCAGGGCTGTCTTAAGCATATGCGGTGCCGGGGTGCAAAGATCCGCCCAGTGGCCCCCCCCCGGTTGTCCAGTCCAAGGCACGCAGGAGGGCAGAGCCGGCCGGCTGCCTCAGCGTCTTGCTGGCTCGGTCGCTCCTGAACTGGCGGCACAGGGCCACCCGCAACAGGAGAGCCCGTCCTGGCACTCCAACCGATGGGCGGGCTCTTCCTTGGACTCAACTCTTGGGCCCCGGACTCTCAGCCTGCCACCCCTGAGAGCCCGGCGCCTGGGTGCCCCGCACCCCTAGCACCTATGTGTAAGGCGGCCCTGCTCAGGGTCCAGGTTGGTTCATATGGAGAGATGCAGTCCTTGAAGTATTGTGGTCCTGAGCCATTTGAGGCTTCTTAGATCAAAACCAGCACTCTGAATTCGGCTCAGAAACTGATTGATGTCCATTGCAGTTGGGCCACAATTGGTGTCATATGCTCAAACCATCTTACCCCGGTGATCCACCTGGCCACCGAATTCTGCACCACCTGAAGTTTCCAAACCGTCTTCAGAGGCAGCCCTATGTATACTGTGCACATCCTTTAGATCTACACACACTGTCAGAGCTGCCCGAGGTCCCAGCTCACAAAGGACCAACGCCAGTTCGTTGTTATATACAAAAGTCTTTATTGAAGTTCAGTTTCGCCTTCACAGCCACGGCGCGCAGCTCTACGTCTCAAACTCTAGACCGCTGAAGCTCCGTCTGAATCTCCTCCCCCCAGACACCAGTTTAAGACTCTAGCCTTGCTCCACCTCTTCCTTTGCTCTTTCCTCCTCTGGTTCCGCCTGTCCGCTGGGGTCTCGCCTCTCCTAGACTCTTCTGACGCTGAGTCCCCTGAGTCCTCCCCCTCCCTCCGGCGGGCTTTAGGACCTGGTTCCCAATCCGGGTTTCCTGCTGTCCCGCGCGCCTGTACATTCGAACTTGGCGCGCCCAGCCGGCAACCTTCCTCCTGACCGTTACACTGCTCCTGTCACTGCTTCCCCCTTCGGTGAGGCTAGCTGGACCTGACCTCCCCTCCGTTCCCCCACTCTCCGATAGAGGCGTGGTCAGCCCTGACTCATCTTCTCTCCCCGCTGGAGGAGACGCTGGCCCTGACACATGGGACTCTTCCCCCCCACTATGCTCTGGTGGGGAAGCTGGTCCTGATCTCCCGCTGCTGCTTTGGGAGTCCCCGCTGGCCCCTTGTTTCTGGTGCGTCCCCCCTGGGACCCCCCTTGCCCTGGCCATCGGCGCCCCCTTCTGGGAATCTTCTGATTCGCTGGAGAAGCTCATGGAATCTCTCAGGTCACTGTCATACTCCCCTACGCTGCCCTCAGATTCTTCTCCTTCGCTCTCCATTTCCTCTCTCCCCTGTGACTCTGCTCCTGAGCCCCTGACACACACACACACACAACTGGTATTAAGTGATGAGAAAAACTCCTCTCCACCTGAGATCCTGGAAACCTGTAACCAGTCAGCTTTAAGTGGACCAATAGTCTATCCTGATACCTGGCTGATTCCTATTTACAGTGGTACCTTGGTTCTCACATGCCTTGGTACTCAAACAACTTGGAACCCAAACACAGCAAACCTGGAAGTAAGTGTTCCGGTTGCAAACTTTTTTTGGCAGCTGAATGTTCCCCGTTTTGAGTGTTATGCTTCCAATTTGAGTGCCACACTTCCGTTTTGAATATTACGCTGAGGTCTGTCTGTTTTTGCTATTTATTTTGCGTTTTTCTTTTTGCGGCTCTTTTTGTTTTGTTTTTGTGGCTGTGTGGAACCCAGTTCAGCTGCTGATTGATTGATTTTGTGACTGCAGTACATTGTTTATTTCTTTCATTTTATGGATCAATGGTCTCGTTAGATAGTAAAATTCATGATA